GTTCAGTCAACGGAATTCCTTCCCAGCAGAATCCACTTTAGCCGGTGTGTGACTCCCTCCCCATCCAGATACAAGCAGCCAGGAAACTTCATGGACCTCTCAGGGGTCGTGTCTGTAGGGAAGTAGAGGGGATCCCGACCCCCAACCCCCCATATCACCAGCGATGACTCCCAAGGTCTTAGCCGCCAGTTTACCACAGCACTGGGCCTTAAATGGGACACGCAGTGGGGCTGCAAGTGTAACTAGATCTCCGGGGAACCCCTTCTGGCGAACAGGACCTGGCTGGCTGGCTGACAGGAGGAAGGTGGGTAAGGGCCGGAGAAGTGAAACGGCTCTGGACTGACAAGTCTGAGACTCCCAGGAGACGCCTTACAGGGATTGCTATGGGCAGGTAGAAAGCAGAAGCTCTGCTCGGAGGGCACAGCTCCACCTACTGGAAGAGAAGAAAATGGATCTCTAAGACTTCAATATTTTTTTTTATTTCTTCTTCTTCTCTCTCTCTGTTCCTTTCTCCCCTTTTCCTTCTCTTTCTTTCCCGTTTCAAGTTTTATTGTTCTTTTCTTTCCCCTCTAATCTCTCCTTCTTTCTTTTTAAGAGCACCTTCATTCCCCTACCCCCCAACTTTCATCCCAAGCATTACGTCTTCCATTACGTGTAATTGTCTAAATTCAAATAGGTGAATGTCTCGAGGCTGTCTATAGGGCTCCTAAATACCTAGCTACTACCAACACCCTGATCCAATTGCCTGTTAGTATCCACCTTCAGTAGAGCAATCTTCTCAAGTAGCCAAGACATACTAACCCTCATACCATCATAGCACCTAACCTAAACATATAGTCCTAAGAAGAAACAACAAATCACTATATGCATACAGAACCTGGAAGCCCTTTATGAATTGAACGAATCAGCTTAAAAGTACAATAAAGCCCAACATTTCTAGGCATAATCTCCCACCACAAAGCAGAGATAACAGAGATATACAAAGCCAAAACAAATGTATAGGAGAAAGCAGTTACAAAGCAGTCAAACAGAGCTGGAAAGTAACGTGAATAACATGAAAAAACAAGGGAAAAAAGGACTACAAACAATGCAAGACAACTTAAATCTACAGGAGGACCTAGAAGCATCAGGAACATGGACAGGGAAAGAAATCAAGGCATACCTCTGATGGAACGGAATATTAGAGAAGACATGAGACAGCAAGTCCAAGCATTGAAAGTGTATTTTGAAAACGAACTAAATAAACAAATTCAAACTGCAAAGAACGAGCTTTACCAGGAGATAGAGATTTAAAAAAAAACCAAACAGTAATCCTAGAAATGCAAGAAACCATAAACCAGATTAAATACTCTAATGAGAATATTACAAATAGACTAGATCAAGTAGAAGTCAGAACATCAGATAATGAAGACAAAGTTTATCAATTTGAAAAGAATATAGTCAACACAGAAAAGATGCTTAAATCTCACGAGCAATCTATCCAAGAGATATGGGATCTCATAAAAAAACCAAATTTGAGAGTCATTGGGATAGAAGAAGGCACAGAGTTTCAAATCAAAGGAATGGACAACTTATTAAATGAAATAATCCTAGAAAACTTGCCAGAGATGAAA